AGGGATCGTTGGTTCGTTTGGGGTTGAAACTTTGACCATTGGCTATTTGAAAAGGAGTGTAGGCTGTGCTGGAGTGGACTGCATTATTGTAGGCAACTTCTGCAAAAGGAAGTAAGTCTGTCCAATCACTCTGTTGGAAATTTAAAAAACATCTCAAATATTGCTCAAGTACTGAATGGCACCGTTCCGTTTGTCCATCTGTCTGAGGGTGATGACTAGATGTCAGTCCCTGAGTGGTCCCTAAGAGGGATAAAAATTCCTTCCAAAATGCAGACGTAAATTGCACTCCCCTATCAGAGATGATGCGTTGGGGTGCCCCGTGCAATCTGTAAATGTGCTGGATGAAAAGTATTGCTAAGGCCTTTGCAGTGGGAATTTTTTGGCAAGGGATAAAGTGCACCTGTTTGGAAAACAAGTCCGTGACTGTCCAGATAACAGTATTCCCATTGCTTTCTGGCAATTCCACTATAAAATCCATGGCTATTTCCCTCCAGGGGGTTGAGGGACTTGCCACTGGTTGTAATAGCCCTGGCGATTTCCCTTGCAACCTCTTTGCTGATGCACAGGTTGGGCAGCTGGCAACATAACTTTCTATGTCCTTTTTTATTGATGGCCACCAAAATTGCCGTTTAATTAAGTGTAAAGTTTTTACAAATCCAAAATGCCCTGCTGATTTTGTGTCATGGCAAAGCTGCATGAACGTGATTCTTTGGGTTGTTGGTATGTATAACTTTTCCCCTACCCAAGGCAACCCGTCTCTCATTGTGCACGCATTTTTGTTTTTCTGGAAACATTCATCTGTTTCCAAACTTTTTCTGAATTCAATTCCAGTTTGGCTGTCCAGTTGTGGTTTTAATTTAGCTTGGGTTCTTGTGGTTACTGGTGCTGCCAGTTGTGACTCTGCCATTATTGGTCTAGAGTCTGTGGTTCGTGCGCTGTTATATTGGGGCATGCGAGATAGTGCATCTGCCAGGAAGTTCTTTCTCCCTGGTAAATGTTTGAGCTTAAATTGGAACTGGTGAAAATGCTGGGACCAGCGGGCTTGTTTGGGATTGAGTTTCCTGGGAGTTTTCAGGGCTTCTAAATTTTTTTGATCAGTCCACACCTGGAAGGGGATTTTGTTGCCTTCCAGGAACTGTCGCCACCACGTGAGTAATGCCCAACGTATCCCATAAGCCTCCTTCTCCCATATGGGCCAGCGCTGTTCTGTTTCCGTGAGTTTCTTGGATTTATATGCACAGGGTTGCAATACTGCATCATCATTTTCTTGTAATAGCACAGCCCCCACTGCCACATCACTTGCATCTGCCTGTATTATTTTTCTGCCTTAGTACTGGTTCGGCAGAAAAAAGTCTCTTTAGTCTCTCAAACGCTGCTTGGCACTCCATTGTCCATGTTAGTGGCTGGCTAGGTTTTACTGAGGATGTTCCCTTCGTTTTTAGTAAGTTAGTGAGGGCAAGGCTATCTGTGCAAATGAGGGGATGAATTGGCGGTAAAAATTTGCAAAGCCCAGGAAACTTTGTAGTTGCTTTCTTGTGCGGGGTGGTGCCCAATCTAATACTGCTTTGACCTTCTCTGGGTCCATTTCAATGCCCTGTGGGGATATGCGATAGCCTAGGTAGTCTATCCTTTCCTGGTGGAATTCGCATTTTGAGAGTTTGGCATATAGGTGGGCGGCTCGCAGCTTCTTTAAAACCGCTCTGACAAGGTTGACGTGTTCTCTTTTGTTTCAGTAAAGATAAGAATGTCGTCCAAGTAAACAAGGACCCCCTTAAACAGGTGCTCCCTTAGAACGTCATTGATTAATTGCATAAAGACTGCAGGGCCCCCTTGTAATCCAAATGGCAAGACTTTGAATTGATAGCACCCCATGGGGAAGTTAAATGCAGTCTTCCATTCGTCCCCTTCCTTAATTCTCACGCGATAGTAAGCTTCCCTTAGGTCTAGTTTAGAAAAAAAATTTCCCTTTCAATAGGTGTGACAGCATGTCTTTCATGAGGGGCAGAGGGTATAGGTTGCTTTCACTGATTGTATTCAGGGCCCTATAATCCACGCATAAACGTAAAGAGCCATCCTTCTTCTCTCTAAAAAGGACCGGGGCAGCCACTTTAGGCTTGGCTGGCTCAATGAAACCTCTCTCTAGGTTTTTTTTAATAAATCTTTCCATTTCCTCCTTCTCCTTTGGGCTCATGGAGTATAATCTGGGCTTCGGGAGTTTTGCCCCAGGCTTGAATTCAATGGTACAGTCTGTGGGTCGGTGGGGGGGAAGCTCATTCGCCCTCTCCTCACTGAAGACTTCAGCAAGGTCCCTATATTCCTCTGGTATTTCTGTTAATCTTTTTTCCTCTCCTATGGATGCTTTTTCTATTCTTGATTCTGGTAGCCTCCCTTGGGGTTTTAAGTCCATAGGGTCCCCCTTCGGGAATTTGATTTCTATCGTCCTCCAATTTACCCAGGGGTTCCATTTTTTCAACCATTCCATCCCTAGAATCATTGGGCATTCCATGCCTGGGGTCACCACAAACGTTATGTCCTCTTCATGTTTGCCCAGGGAGAGGTGTATTGGTAGAGTGGCTAGGGTAGCTGGCACCCCCCCTGCTATGGATCCATCTAACTGGCCAAATGAGATTGGTTGTTCCAGTCTCCTCGATGGGATGCCCAGATTCCCCACTAGTGTTGGGCTAATGAGGCAGCGGGTGCAGCCAGAGTCTATTAAGGCTTTCACCTTCACAGCTTTGGGCATGGGGGGGATTAATATAGTCACTGTTTTGAAGATGGGTGTGATGCATCCACTTACCAGGGTTTCGCCCTCCGAGCTGTCATCTGAGGCATTCACCGGCCCTGTGGTGTAGGCTGGAGTTCTTTCCCCTTGGTGAGCAGAAGTGGGGGGTTCTGCAATTTCCATCATTCTCATGGCCAGTTTCTTTTGGCTTAGCTGAAGACTTTCCGGATTTGTTGATTGGGGATCTGTCTGGGTTGTGCTGGGGGGCCTTTGAGCGGCATTCTACAGCTCGATGCCCTTCTCTTCTGCACTTGAAACACCCCATTTGCTTCTTGGCTGTAGCCGATGATTTCACCAGTTCGTGTGTCAGCTCAGGCGGGGGGCGGCTCCATTGTTTTCCTCAGTGGTGCCTCTTCAATATGTCGATCTCTGCTTCCTCTGCCAAGACGTACCATTCCTCAAGTCGATGTGGGTCCCCTTGGGGCAGGCAAGCGTCATATAGATCATAGTTTAGTCCGTCTTTGAAATGGCTAAGGAGGATGTCTTCTGGCCAATTCAATTTGCTGGCAATGGCCCGGAATTCTTGTGTATATTCAGCCACCGGGCGTTTGCCTGCCTCATCATTTTTATCCTTTCACGGGCTTTGCGATCAGCCAGGGGGTCTTCAAATTGTCTTCTCAAAGAGGACATGAAACAGTTGAAGTTACTGAGTTCTGGGGCATTGGAGCCATGCAAGTTCACCACCCAATCTGCAGCCGGTCCATCCAGGGCAGATTGCACGATCCGGATGCGGGCTTTGTCGCTGGGAATGTCCTGCCCATATTCCTCCATGTAGCTGAGGACTTGGGTTAGGAAAAACCCCAAGCGTGTTGGCTCCCCTTTGAATTTCACCTCCAACGGTGGACATCTTGGAATGGATCGGTGCCTCCGTTGTTGGTGGTAGTGTCTTCCGTCCAGATTGCCATCTGTGGTCCGGTAGGGGGTGGGGGCTACTGGATCAGTAGATGTCCCCGGGGTTGCAGGTTCCACGTCCCCCTCGGTGTCTCTCCCTTTGCGGCTCCAGGAGCTGGGGCGGCCGTAGGGCTCAGGATTCTCCTCTCCTAGGAAGCTGAGAGTTCTCTTCATCAGGTCAATAGCTTTCTCTAGGATCCAGTCTGAGTACGGTGCCCAGCTTCCTCCCTCTTCACTTGCGTGCAGGGATTTCTCCATCTCCTGCTTCCATTCTGGTTGCTTGGTCCCCCGTCTCAGGGTCACCTTTCTTGATTCCTTTCCCCACTCACTTTTCTTTCCAACGCCCATTGACCAGCGAGGCTTGTGGTCCCATGTCTCCACCACTTCTTCTCCTGAGGAATCTGACCTCTCGGATCCCAACATCTGACAAGGTTCCAATTTGGTCAGCGGCTCTCTTTCCAGGGAGTTTTCCCCCTCTCTTGCTCCATTGTCTGACATGGTAAATTTTTGCAAAATCCCCCGGCAAGGGTCTTCCTTCCAGGTGGATTAATTTTGCAAGTCCTGTCTAATGTAAGGACCCACCCCCCTTTGCATCTTAAGAAGACAGAACTCTTGGAATAATTCTTCCAACAGGAATCCTTTATTAAGAAGAAGTGGTTGCAGGCGTTCTAGACAGGACTTGGGGTCCAAGCTCTCCCATTCAAGGTTTTAAGGGGTTCCCCAGTAGTCCCACCCAATCACCCCCCCCTTCCAGTGATAGTTTCAGGCATCACAAATCCACCCCTTTACTCCTTTCTTCCGTCTGTATGGAGACTTCAGATAAACTACATGAAAGTTAAATAGCCCCCTTTGTTATGGTAAGGTTCAAACTCTTTGCGGTTGCAATAAACACATTCAGCTCCTTAGAAGTCTACTGAAGGAAGTGAGGGCCCTAAAGCCCCCTTTGTTCTCCCCCTTCTCTCCCTCTTATGGCAGAATCCAGAGAAGGCAGAATTGGGATTTTCTATGTTTGATAATTAAAGATGAAATATAATTGGATTCTGACACATCCACTATTTTGACATTCTGGAATAATTAAACAAATGCAAGTGGTCTGCGAAGATGCAACAGGGCCTTTCCAAAAAACTGCACAGGAGCAAGCTGGGCAGGGGCAGCTGTGCTCTCTCTCCCCTCCCTATCTTCCCTTGGGGGTCTGCAGCCCAGCCAGGGGCCCTTGGGAGTCTTCTGCCTGTGGTGGCTGCTCTTGACACTGCCTTCCAGAATGGTCTGACCACTTCCTGCCATGGGTGCTGCGCTTGCCAACCCTTTGCTTGTGATTTTTCCCCAGCTTCGAGGTAAGATCCTGATCCTGACAGTCTGCGCGGCTGGGATTGGCGGCACTTTCCAGTATGGCTACAATCTCACGATCATCAACGCCCCCACTGCAGTAAGGCACCCCTTTTCTTATCATAGTCCTTGACCATCTCTCATTGGAAGAAGCCCCCAAGGGAGGACAGTCTCTCAGCCCCCACCCTAGATTTTGGGCTCATCTCATCTCGTAAGCTTCTTGGAAGGTGCCCCCTTCACTTATCAAGGTGGAGGACAGGAGAAACCTAACAACATCCCCAGACAGGTACGGTAGCAGTCTCCTCTTGTGCAGAGGGTTCAGAAATTGCAGATGACCTCGGGGATGGCTGCCCTTCCAGTAAGGCACTGACCTTCTGGATGTTTCCCAGATCTTCCTGCAGTTTTTGAGGAGTTGTAGCTTGTGGAGTAACTAACCTCAGATTCCTATAGTGAGTTTTATGGCTCCCACCCACTGCCACACCAGCAGACCACAGAGTAGCTGGTTTTCAGAGGGTGGGGGCTGTGTGTGATCCAGCTCTGATTTCTCCCACACAATATTTTTTTCTCCACTTGTAGTTCATCCAGTCCTTCATTAATGAAACCTGGCTGTATCGCACTGGAGCTGCCTTGGAGGGAAAGATGATCACACTGGTCTGGTCCTTCATTGTTGCTGTGTATCCTTTGGGGGGCCTGGTTGGAGCATTAATTGCTGCTCCCATGGCTGTGAAGATGGGCAGGTGAGGGGTTTGGAAAGCCTGTGCTGGGCTAGGTCAGCCTCTCAGCAGGAGGAATATCTTTTAGTGTCTTCTAGAACCGGATTCAGCCAGGAGCATTTGAATACTGGACTTCAGATAGCTCTCTTTATCAGCTACATATAATGACACCAAATGGAATGTAATTGAAGCTACTTTTTGCCAGCTTAACTCTATCTGATTAATTCATGGTAACCTGCTATTTTCTCCATATTGACAAGTTCCAGTTGGATGATCCTGATCACTAGTGCAGCCTGCTCCACTAGTGAGGGGCAAGAAACCTGAGTGCTCCATATACTGCCAGATGGAGCTGGGAGCCAGGATTGTAGTCTAGCTGTACAAGCTTTCTTTCTTCAGAGGGCTGCAAACTAAGGAGGGTGGGGGGGGGCTGCTTGGAGACTGCCTTCCCCTTTGCTCAGCCAAGCAGCCCACAAGGGGCAGCTCAGGGTCCCAGGAGGAGCCCCTGTAAGCAGAGACCCCCAACTTTCATTTGCATTCAGGTATGTATTGATGCTTTCCAGTTGGCAATCCCATGCCCAGATTTTCCCTGCTGTTTGGCATCTCACCTCTTGGGAAAAAAGGCCACTAACATGCCACGCCCTGTTGAAGGTCTTGGCACTGGAACCCAAGCTGTCTGCCACTCTGTCCATGCAAGGAGCCAGCAGGAGTAGTCGTGATGCTGAATGATGGCCAAGAGAGGCCCAGGAAAGAAAGACATACAGAGTGAAATAAGCCTTTGAAACTTTTCTCCCTTGGTTTCCCTGAAGGAAGAAATCTTTGCTGCTGAACAATGCATTTGTGGCCCTTGCTTCGCTGCTGGTGGGGTTCAGCCGGGTGGCGAAATCCTTTGAAATGATCTTGCTGAGCAGATTTTTTGCTGGTATCAATTCTGGTAGGTCCAGGACATGAGCAGATACATGGCATCTGTAGCATTTGGAAAAGCAATCTATGCTATCTGACCAGGGTTTGTTTCTTGAAGATAGGTCATGTACCCTCACCATAACATGAGCCAAGTATCCATCAAAATCTGCTTTTCTTCCTCTGTCTTTGCCTTCCAATTGGGGTGGAGGTTCTTGATCTCTCAGTTGCTTTCAATACTATTGACCATCCTTCTGGGCTGGCTCTGGGAATGGGAAGACAGCACTTTGGTGTGGTTCGCTTCAGGGGGCTGGTTCCAGGATACATTGATGATATCTAATTGTGTTTTTTAACATCAGAGTGGCCAGATGAGGCTGTCAAGGTTAGTTTGGAAGGGGAGGAACCATCTCTGACTCAATTCTATCAATGGCTGCAGATATAAGGTCTCCTGCCTTGGACAGACTGTTGGACTAGAAGACCTCCAAGGTCTCTTCCAGTCCTATGATTGTATGTTTCTATGTGAGGGCCACTAGATCTGAGGATACTCCATCTTTAACCTTGGATGGAGTAACACTTCCTTATTTAAGGATGGTGCATGATCTGGTGATCTTTATGGACTCACAGTTCCTGCTTAATATGCAGCTGATAGGTGTGGATAGGAAGGTCTTTGCACAGCAGCATCTACTGTACCAGCTGTGTCTTTTTCTTCAGACAGTCAGTTATGCTCTAGAGTCCACTCTTGCAATGCACTCAAAGACCACTTAGAAGCTTTAGCTGGTCCAGGATGCAGTGGCATGGGCAGTGATGGGCATGCCTTGATATGCCCTTGGGATTCCTCTAATCTACAGGCTGCATTGATTGCCAGTTTTTTTTCAGGTGCAATTGAGGTGCTAGAAACTCTATGTGGTATAGGGCTTGGTTTTGTTTAAGGGACTCCCTATATACTATGGTACCTGTTTGGCTGAGGCCAAGGAAGTCCAAACAGAAAGCCTCATTTAGAGGCAGAGAAGGGAATGATTAGAGCATTCACAGAATAAAACCTTGGCTGGAAAACTTTCACTCATTTAGCATGAAAAGCTGTGGCTGACCAATCCCTGTCACCAGAAGCCAAGTGGCTATAATAAATATATAAATATATATACATTGCTTTCTGGTGTACACTGCTTAGAGAGTGCTTGCACTTAAAGCAGTATATAAGTCTCATAAATAAATAAATAAATGCCATAAAATAAACATATTTCTTTTCTGAGACTGGGGACTTGTCTGCACAGGAGTGGCCATGAGCATCCAGCCCATGTACTTGGGGGAAAGTGCACCCAAAGAGCTCCGAGGAGCTGTGGCCATGACTTCGGCATCCTTTGCAGCCCTTGGCTTGGTGATTGGCCAGGTAGCTGGACTCAGGTAAGATGCAAAGCTCTGGGAAAACCTGGGATGTGTGTGTCATCCAGAAGGCACACTTCCCTTTGCTAGAACCCTTCTGTATGTTACCCAGGACTGGGCTACGGGCTGCACCTTAAATAAAAACCTAGAAATAGAAAGATGTCAGGAAGAAAGGTGCCCTGCCTTGAAATCTCCTGCCCAAGCCCAGTCAACATACGGTAAAAGGTCCTGTTGTCTCTTTTTGTATGGATTTATGGAGAGGTGTTGCTGTGATGACAATCAGCAAGTAAGTTAAAGAAATACAGTCTGTTAAATGAGACCCTGAACCATTTGTCTGTTTCCATAAGTGACTCTGGATTTCAATGTAGGGAAATCTTGGGAGCAGAAGAGAGCTGGCCTGTCCTTCTAGCCAGCAATGCAGTGCCTGGGCTGGTCCAGTTGGTGCTTCTGCCCTGGGCTCCAGAAAGCCCCCGCTACCTCTTGATCGACCGAGGAGATCAAGATTCATGCATCTCTGGTAAGCAAGGGCAGCCTGTCCTGAGATCAGCCCAGAGAGCAAATCATTATAGGGGCTTGGGAGGAAATAGAGCTGTGGGGAAAAATTGGCTCATTACATGATGCCATTCTAGATCCTGTGGGGATTACAGCAATCTTTGTACCCCATAGAAGTAATGTTTTCTCCCAAAGGGAACTTTATGTGAGGAATCTGGTCCCATCTGGAGTAAGCAATGGAATCTGTGTCCAGACATTCAAATCCATTCAAATGATGTTTCTGCCATGAGATGCTGTGCAGTTGTTGCACGTGTTCTGCTTTTCTCGAAGGGGGTTGGAACATGTTGAGAAGTTTTAAGGCAACCCATGAATCGGAGGCCTCCACAATGCCCAACAACATCAGGCTCACCTTTGGCTTCTTTCAGCCTTGCGGCAACTGAGGGGCAGCAGCGACCTGAGCATTGAGATGAAAGAAATCCTGGCGGAGCAGGCAGCCCTACAGGGACAGGCAACCAAGGCACCCTGGGAGCTGTGGAGCAACCGGGCAGTGCGGTGGCAGCTTATCACTGTGGTAGTGCTCAGCAGTGCCATGCAGCTCTGTGGCAATGATTCCGTAAGTCCAGTGGCCTGGCCAGGGGGCTGCCCACTGCTATCCTGCATGCCTTTTTCCCAATAGACCTGGGAACTGAAAAGGGGTTGACATCTGGAAAGGCGGCTTCTCCTTTAGGAGACTGCTGGCACAATCCAGGCAGCATACTAAAATGTGTGGTGTTGGCATCCTCTGTAATCGCTTTTTGAGTTGAGTTTCAAGGGAGTTGGGAGATTTTTTTTTTGCTGTTTAAATTGTGATATGGTTTTACATTACCATTTTCATGAGTTTCCTATCTCAGATTAGCATATTAACTTCCCCTCCTTTACATAGCAATGAAAAATAGAGGTTCAATAGCCCAGGGATAATGTGATACTTTTTCTTTATTCCTGCAGATGTACTTCTATGCTTCATATGTTTTCCAAGAGGCAGGGATTCCATATGACAAGATCCAGTACAGCGTTATTGGCACTGGGAGTTGTGAACTTATCATGTCCATGACTTGTGTGAGAATTTTATCTTCCTTTCTTCCTACCCAGTACAGTCTTCTAGACAATCACAAGGAGTTTTGCTCATTTGCAGAGCTACCTTCCATTTCTGAGTAGTATCCAGGACATTTTTTTCATAGGACAGTAATCATGGGTCTGCTTTGGATCATCCTCCCTTCTCTTGTGTTACTTGTAATTTTCCACCTTCTTCTAGTGATTCTCACCTCAGCTCTTGTTCCCTGCAGGAAGGAGATCCATCATGACAGCCCAGAGAATTATGTGTATAGTTGTTGACACTGATGCTAAATCTGGAAAGACTTTCAGATGGTGGACTGGTGCATTGGAACTCTGCTCTTGTCAGATAAGATCCCTGTAGGCGTCACCACATTGGTCAACCCTGTGATTATCTTTGGTATCAGCTAGGGTAAACTTGGTTCCTCTCAAGGATCCTAACTTTATGGGTCACTCACTGTGTAGGAAAGTATCTTGGACAGTCGGGGGTTTCATGTAATGTGTCTCATGATGAGGCCCTTAACCAAGTCATGAGTGGTCAGTGTAGATGTGTAGATGTGATCAGGATGGGAGTGGCAGGGTGGGATAAACTGCAGTCCCAACAACGGATCTCCAAGTCCTAGGACTGCTAGGGAATGAGACCTCTACATCTATGCCCTGTAGTTTCTAGCTGCAAGTGCTGTGCATCCTTCTGCTCAAAGAGTGAAGATTTTAAATTAAATTGATGAAGTCAATCCTAACCCCACTGCCACTGTTGTATAAAAAGACTCAGCCCTGGTAGAAGACTAGCAGAACACATCCATGAACACCAGAAGACATGATGAAAAGTCTTTAATTTCACAACATATGGACAGACTTAACCATAATTTCAACTGGGAAACAGTGACCATCCTAGACTAAGCCAAGTCCCAAAATTCTAGAGAATTCCTGGAAGCCTGGCAGTCTGACAATTTAGCCCTCTATAGACACATAGGCATAAACAGCATCTATATAAGCTTGGAAGAATAAACTCTTGCTAAAGCTTGGAAGAATAAACCTTTGGTTCCAATGACCAACTCAGATTTGGTTTTGCAACTCCTATATACTGTGCAAAAAAGACAATTGGCATCCCAAAAAGGGAACAAAAAGATCAAAACACCTCCCCACCAGCAATCAGGATGCAGATGAGCATAGATTGATAGATTAGCATCATACCAACAATCAAAAAGTAAACAATACCCCAATCAAGAAACTGCCAAAAAAGCCAACAGTAAACAGCCTAACCAAGGAACCTCAGACCATCCCCACTAAAACTGACAGGGCAAGATGCTAGAATATAATCTGAGAGCAAACCACACTCCTTACTAACACTGATAATGTTGCAGAGTTTGGTTAATAAAATGGCTGCAAGAAAAGAACTAGCTCAGAGTGCACCAAGGACACCTCGTCACTGGAGGTGTACCCTGACAAGACACCAGTAATTGCCCCTCAGAAATGCACCTTTAAGTGAGATCCCAAAGACAGATTCACGTTCACAGTTTGTATCAGGAGCAGCACTGCTCATGATTAGGACTGATAAACCCCAGATTTGGGCATGCACACTTAAGCCTTTAATATCACACCAGTAGGTATGAAACAATTTCCTGTTACAGTCCATTCTGCAGGCATCCATCCATTACTGTATGTCTGAAGTTGAATCCCTGCCTTCTGATTCACCTTAGCCATGTTTCTGCTTTGCAGTCATGACCAGTGAATTCTTTGACTTGCAAGTAAATCAGCTTTATCTGATCTGCCTCTAAAATAAAATGGTCCCAGATGTCTCTTTTGTTCTGAAAATTGCTTTGGTCTTCCTTCTATCTCAAGACAGTTTCTTCCCATATTTTTTCTGACCTGGTCAGCTCACTAACTTTCATTTCACGTTGCTTAGTGTGACATCATACAAGTACTAACCATTTTGGGCTGATCATTGGCCACTGAACATTGAGGTGGCCTCCCTACCTGCCCCCAGGGGGCTTCTCCCTGCCACCAATTGAGTTGTGCAAAAAAGTTGGCTGGGTGATATAGGGCCAGTCACTCTCTCTGTTCAACCCATTTCATAAGGTTGTTGTTGTGAGGAAAACAGGAGCATAGGGCGTATTGTACACCACCTTGTCTTGTAAAAACTAAAGGTGGGGTATCAATGGCTTGTAAGCTTTTCAGCTCCGGGTGGCAATAAAGGCTATTCTGTGCCCCTTCTCTGCCATATCAGGACAGCTGCATAATTCATGGGCTACTCTTTGCAAAGCATCCATAAATGGATGCAGGGGCAGCTCTTGGGCAAGGTAAGGCCTTCTTCTCTGGAGCGCTATGCCTGCCAGTCCCCCTCAAGTAAGTTCCCTGACAGAGAATTGCTGGCTCAATGGCTTTGCATGTCCATCACAGGACCAGCATTTCTGAGGACTGCAGACCCAAAATCCTTTGTGGAGGATCTTGGGCAGTCAGGCCCTGGGATCCACAAAGGGTTGCATGCATGGAGGCAGCTGTGAAACTTTTTATGTTTTCATTATAAGAAAAGAGTCCTTCGACTTTCCATTTTGGCCATTTATTTATAGTATGCTAATAGTATGAAAAGCTTCTTCTGTCTGAAATGCCTCTTGGAATACCACATGACTGGGATACTGTCTTCTTTAAAGGACTGCAAAAGTTATTTAGGGGTATTGTGCAGTTCCTTTTTTTTTAAATTAGGTGAAGTATCATATTAACCATATGGCATGTAAAAACTGAATCCCTCTCAGTAAACAGCACTTTTTGGAGCTGTTCTAATCCCAAAATGTACAGACTGAAATCAAGAGGAGATGATCACTCAGTCAGTCTCTAGAAAGTACCAGGCTATTGATCTCCCCTATTGTATCTGTTCAATGGTGAAGGGGAGGAGGTTGATCTGTTCAATGGAGAGGGGGAGGCCTCTCTGTGGAGGGCCTGGGTTGGCCACCCATTAAGGGGATTCCCTGTGATGCTTCCAGAACCTCCTCATCGAGTGCATCGGGCGACGGATGCTGCTCATAGGGGGATACAGCCTCATGGCCACCTGGGCCATCCTGTTCATGGTAGTGTTATCTCTACAGGTAAGTATCGCTCTTTGTTTCTTTGGGTTGAAGGACCCCAGATCTTCCAATTCAGCAAGAGTCACATGCTGGGGACTTCCTAATTTGCCCATTCCCCTCTCTCCCCTCATCTGCCCCACCACTCTTTTGGCCTTACAGGAACAATTCAGCTGGATGCCTTATCTCAGCATGGCCTGCATCTTTGCCTACATCCTGAGCTTTGGCATTGGACCGGGTGAGTTACAAGAGCATTGAGGGTCTCAACAGGGGCATGAAAAAAGTGCCACCACCACACATTCATTCATGTCCAGGTGATTTAGAGACCGGGGATCTTTGGGGGGTTTCTGTGGTAGATGAGGATCATGCTAGCATTTTAGTATCTGCTTCTTTGAAAACTTTCCAATTCTTCTAATTATTTCAAGTTACTGAGGATAATATGCAGTAAAGTGGCATCAAGCAGAAAAACAGTCTGTGGGTGGAACATTCTGACTTTGACTGCTCCCCAGGAGAAATTCCATATTTATTCACATCCATATTTGGGGCTTTGTGGTTGTTTCCAGCTACAGGCAGCTTTTCTGCTTCCCAAGATTCACCAAGACTGCTTATCACTTTGACATGCCTGGGTAAAACACACTGTGCACCTCAATCTAAGAAAGGTCAGAAACTGGGCTGATATTGCCATATTTTTATCTTCCTTCTTAGAAAGTAACATTTAATTTGCCTGGTTTCTGTAGCTGGTGTGACAGGAATTATACCCACGGAGATTTTTGATCAGGTCACCCGCCCGGCTGCTTACACAATCAGCGGTTCTCTACTCTGGATCAACTTATTTGTGGTCGGCCTAGCATTTCCTTTTGTGGTGGTAAGCTCTGTTTATATTTCTGCAAAGCATCAGTTAGTTCATGAGGGACACGGGAAATAGGAGCAAGTGGTTTTGAGGCAGACATACTTTCGGTCCATCAATGAAAAGCATTGTCCTAGCTATGGATTCAAGGAGATGGAGCCCCCACACACTCAAGACTAGGTGTTCCTCCTGTTCTAGACCCAGTTGTGACCCCTACCATGAGGAGTCACATGACCAAGGATCTCCTCTCCTAGCAGGTTGTTGTTGTTTTCTCCTCCAGGTGGTCAGTCCAAGGAGGCCTTGCTCAAGTATTCCTGGAGTCCTAACTTTCCTTATTTTATTTAAAGCATTTATATAGCCACCTATCTTTCAGGCAACTTAGGGCAGCTCCCAGACATAAAATATTTTTTAAAAAACTATAACACTCAACCAGTTAAAACATAAAATGTTAAAAACAAAAAAATCCCAATGCCAATCCATGATAAGGTTCGATCATCTAAAGTTCTTCCAGTACTGGGGGAGAAGCCAGGTCTTTAAAGCCTTATGGAAGGGAGGCCTGCCAAACTTCAGGGGCAAAATATGCTACAGGGCAGGGGCTGCCATGGAAAATGCATGCTTCCTAATGCATGCTTCCTAACTCCATCAGATGGCAATATTAGGAGGAAGGGACCAGAACATATCCATCCTCTCTGACCTGGTAGAATGGGTAAATCTGCTGAGGTAGACTCACAGATAGGATGGTCCCAAGTTGCTGCATTCTGGACCAACTGAAGTTTCTGGGTGGTCTTCAAAGGCTGCCTCAAGCATACCACATTGCAGTAATCAGACAGGAGATGCCCAAGACATGAGTGACTGTGAGTAAGGCCTCCACCTCCAAGAAAGGACACAACTAGTATAGCAGATGAATCTGTGCAAAGCCCTCCCTAGTCACGGTTGCCACCTGCTTGTCAAGCAGGAACAATGGGTTTAGTCAAGTGGTGCCGAACCTATGGCACGGGTGCCAGAGGTGGCACTCGGAGCCCTCTCTGTGGGCACGCACGCCATTGCCCCAGTCCTAGGCCTTCAGCTGGGTTTTATAAAACCTTTTCGCTTTAGGCCTTTGCCGCCATATGCAAAAAAAAAAAAGGTTCAATCAATCAGTCAATTTCAACTTCTTACGGGAAAAAAAAGATCTTGCAAAGTTGGAATTGATTGATTGAACTTTTTAGTCCCACCCAGTCTGCCGTTTACCACCGCAGCCACACCTACCCAATGGGCCACACCTAGTCAATGGCCACACCCACCCAGCACCCGACGATACATAAGTGGGTTTTGGGTTGCAGTTTGGGCACTCGGTCTCTAAAAGGTTCGCCATCACTGGTCTAGTCCCCCCCTCCAAACTGCATACTAACTCAGCCTGGGAAAGGGCCACCCAATCCAAAGGCAAAGATAAAGAATCATCCAGTCTGTGCAGCCAAAGACCCAAAATCACTCCATCTTGCCAGAGTTGGGTGGGCTGGATGAGAGAATAGAACAGATCCAGCCATGTCCATGGTTAGAATCCTAGTTTCTAGACAATGACCATTGCTGTGCAGAGGTTTCCTTGCAGTCCTTGGCATCTTTTTCTTTCCTGGTCAATAGGAAGAGAATACAGAACAGATTTGGAAGGGACCTTGGGGGTATTTTAGTCCAACCTCCTGCTCAAACAGGAGACTCTATACCATTCCAGACAAAGCCTCCAGTGATGGAGTACCCACAACCTCTGGAAAAAAACCATTCCACTGGCAATTATTCTCATTGTCAGAAAATTTCTTCTTATTTCTTGATTTTCTCCTTGATTAGTTTCCACCCATTGCTCAGGTGCTTTGGAGAATAAATTGACCTCCTCTTTGTGACAGCCCCTCAAATATTGGAAGATTGCTTTTATGTCACCCCTAGTCCTTCTCTTTATTAGACTAGACATACCTAGTTCCTATAATCATTCACCATATGTTTTAGCCTCTAGCCCTCTTATCATTTTTATTGCTCTTCTCTGCATTCTTTCTAGGGTTTCAACATCTTTTTTGTATTATGATGACCAAAACTTTGTGACCGGGCCCATAGTTCCGGGTCCATACTGGGGCACCCACTTGCAGACACCGTAGTGCCCTGGGTTGGGTGACCCTAGGAGCCAGTCTGTCCGGATGCAACCTGTCAAGTTTGGTGATCAGTTTGCGCCCCTAGCAAAGTTCAGCTGGGCTCTTCCCAGTGGAAGTGGAAGGTGTGGTGCGGTAAGCAAGAAGAAAGTCTGCCAACCTGTGGTGCCAGTCCCCGTAGGTCAGTTTCTTCAAAGCATCCTTGGTGATGCGAACCATCCGTTCAGCCATAATGTTAGTGGAAGGGTGGAATGGGGCCGAAGTGGCATGACGAATCATGTTGGCCTGCAAGAAAGCCTGAAACTCGAAAGAAGTGAATTGAGGACCATTGTCAGAAACCAGAACATCTGGAAGGCCATGTGCAGCAAAAATCCCTCTCAGTACTTGAATAGTCTTGGCAGCAGTAGTGGAAAAGACAGGAACAACCTCAAGCCACTTTGAATGGCTGTCAACAAGGACTAAGAAGAATTGTCCCTGAAAGGGCCCAGCGTAATCTATATGCACCCTAGACCAAGGTGACTGTGTCTCCTCCCATCTATGCACAGGAGCCTGAGGCATTTCAGGGCGTGAACGCTGGCACAAGTGGCATCCATGTGCTTGGGCCTCTATTTCCCTGTCTAATCCTGGCCACTATAAATGGCTAGGCTCAAGCGCTTTCATCCCGACAATGCCAGGATGACCCTCATGGAGGGAAGCTAAGTCTCTAGGTCTCAATGAGGTAGGAATAACTACTCTGCTGCCCCACAACAGGCAACCCTGGAAAGTGGATAACTCATGCTTCTTGAGCCAGAAACTCTGGAACTCAGTACCTGGACAACTCTCAGGCCATCCAGACAAAACCCATGACAGCACACGAGTAAGCGTGAGATCTGTGGCTGATTCAGCAGCCACATCCCTGGCATTTAGGGGAAACTCAGGCAACGCCTGAATGGAAAGAATATTGATGGCAGGGGCAGGGTCAGCCTCTACCATTTGCAAAGGTAATCTACTTAGGCCATCAGCGTGGCCCATTTCCTTGCCAGGTTTGTGAACCAATGAAAAATTGTAGGCTGACAAAAAGATAGACCATCTCAGCATTCTAGGAGAGATGATATGGGGAGTTTGTTTGTTAGTGGTAAGCAACCCCAACAGAGGCTTATGGTCAGTATAGACCATGAAATGTCTGCCATATAGAAAATTATGGAATTTTTTAATTCCAGCGACAATGGCCAAGACTTCTCTATCTGGGCGTAGTTTCGCTCAGCAGAGGACAAGGTTCTGGAGTAGTATGCAACAGGAACCTGAGTTCCGTCAGCTCTTAAGTGGCTAAGTAAAGCCCCCACCCCATAAGGGGAAGCATCACAAGCGATGCAGACAGGAAGAGTTTCATTAAAATGTGCAAGCACATCGTTTGATGTAAGTAAGGCTTTGACCTCATTGAAACTTTTTTCATGTGCTTGGGACCACTGCCACACTGCCTGCTTGTCTAAAAGCCTATGAAGTGGTTCTGCTACATTAGCTTTGTTAGGTATGAAAGCATTGTAAAATCTGTTCTGAACCCCAGGAAATCTGTAGAAGAAACTCCTATTTTGCATTTGTCTTTTTTAAGTTTTAGGCCTGTTTTTCTGAAACGCAGCAGAACAGCCCTCAATCTCTCAGCTAAATTCTGAGTAGATTCTCCAGCAATAAGGACATCATCAAAATAGGGGCAAACCCATGGTATACCTCTCAGGATGTTTTCCATAACACTTTGGAAAATTCCAGGAGCTACATTTACTCCTAATTGTAGTCTCTTGATTTTGAATGCCCCCCTATGAGTTACAATAGTCTGTGCTTCAGCAGCAGCTTCATCAACAGGTAACTGTTGATAAGCCTGTGCCAAATCTAGCTTTGCAAAAACACGCCCCCCCCTTTGAGGGAAGCCATAATATGGCTGACTACAGGTATAGGATACGCATGCTGTTGCAATGCCTTATTTAGTGTGCATTTGTAGTCTGCATAGATGCGAATGTCCCCATTAGCCTTGAGAGGCGTGACTATGGGGGTTTCCCATGGACTTGAATCAATAGGTTCTAAAATACCTTGCTGGATCAATTTGTCCAATTCAGCATCAATTTTCCTTTTAAGAGCAAAGGGTACTCTTCTTGCTTTCACCCTAATGGGAGTGACAGTGGGGTCGAGTTTCAAAGAAACTGGGGGGCCTTTGTAAGTTGGGGGCTGAAGACATCTGCAAACTCTTTGCAGACTTCTTCTAGGCCTAGCATTTGCAAATTGTGTAGCCCTGTAACTTGGATTCCCAATGCCTCAAACCAATCGAGTCCAATGAGACTCGTTCGTTCACCCCAACTACCAATACATCTAATGGACCTTCAAAATCCTTGTATTGTACTGTAAGGGTGGCGTCCCCCTTTACACATACCTTGGAATTTTGGAAATCTGTTAAGACTATATTGGATGGCCTAAGTTTGGCCTGGAACCCACTGCTAGTGCAAATCTTCCTGAAAGTGTGGATAGAAATGATTGAAAGGGCAGACCCAGTGTCCAGCTCCATAACCAATGGAACTCCTTGCAACCTCACCTTAAGTGACAGTTTCTTTTTAAGTGGCCTGTGTGTGCCTGTTCTATAGATACTTCTGCGTGATGCACAGAAACCCACCCTATTTTGACTGGGGACCCTGGTACCTTTCAGGCGCAATTCTTCTCGAGGTTGTGCCTTCTGACGGCCCAGACAAACAGCTTCTATGTGGCCTTGCTTGCCACATGCTCTACAGATTGCAGAACGGAACCTGCAGTCGGTCCTCTTATGGCGACCTCCACACCTGAAGCACTTGGGCACAGCTGGAGACTTTTCTTTGCCTTCCTTCTTTGGATGGGTAGAGATGATCCACCTCATCTTCAGGATCTTCCTCTGAGCTCTCTTGGACT